CTGCTCCGGCCGGTGAGGAAGAGTTCCTCTCCCAGCACCCCCTCCCCGAAAAAAGCAATTCCTCAGGGACTCGCGCTCACCGTGAAATCTTGGGGGCTCTCGCTTACCCCTTCTTCATGCTTCGGCAGCGGTCGCCGGTCCCCCTCGGCTCGCGGGACTCCACCTAGGGCCCCCAGGAGGGTCGGGCTCTGGGGCGGAACCCGCTCAGGACAGCGGCCGAGGCGCCAGGCCACTGGGAACGCCGCCTGGGGCGCCCACCGGCCGCCGGACCCACCGTGTGCTCGACGCGCGAGTGAACAACACCGCGAGCTGCCGCTCCCCCCGCCCCCTCCCCGCGCGAGACGCTCCACAACCGGACGCAGGGACCCGCGCCAGAAGCAGGGGGGACCGCGGGACTCTCTCCGGCTATGGTCCCATCCTTGCCCCCTGCCCCAGGAGCTATTCCCGGCCAGTCAGAGGTCTCAAAACTTCAGATTCTCACTTTCCTCTTCAGCCTCGAGTGCCCAGGTGCAGTCGAGGTGGGAAACCCAGCCTCCGCCCACTCCTCCATCGGTGGGGCCGAAGCTCGCTCTTCCCCCCTTTCCTGAGGTTCTGTGGTATTGCCCAATCCTCAGTTTGGGGGAGGGGGACGGAGAGAACAGTGCTTGGCTAGGGAATGAGGGAAGATGACAGCCAATTGAATGGAACATCCATTCGGGGGCGGGGTCAAGGAGGGACCCGCCCCCGTCCCGCCCCCTCGTTCCAAACTACACTTCCCATTGTGCCCTCTGGTGTTTCCTGCCGCGCTGCACGCTGGGAGTGCAGGACCGCGAGGCCTCAAGGTATTTTGGAACTCGTATTCTTTAGTCAACTAGGTCCTGAAAGTTATAAGCTATTATAATTCTCTCTTTTTCCCTAGATAAACTTTTTTAAGCTCTCATTTCGACAGTAGTTATTCTAATAATAATTATCTTGTTGTTTTAAAATGTAAGAAATTATTTCTTAGCAAAGAAAGTTAATGATATGTTCCATGGCAATCTGTCAGGACCTGGGAGCCTCCTCTTCTTCCGCCCTGACAGGGTCCCCGCAGAAGATTTGTTGCCGTCATGTCGGCTGCGATTGCAGCTCTGGCCGCTTCCTACGGTTCGGGTTCAGGGTCCGAATCGGACTCGGACAGTGAGAGCAGTCGATGTCCGTTGCCAGCCGCCGACTCCCTCATGCACTTGACTAAATCGCCTTCAGCCAAGCCGTCTCTAGCAGTGGCAGTGGACTCGGCTCCGGAGGTGGCAGTTAAGGTAAGCACCTTTGCTACTGATGCGGTGTGGGAATTGTTGGCTTCAGCTCCAAAACTGCCAGCCGCTTGTTAGGTCCCGGCTTACCTCATTGCTCAGAGATAAGTTGCTAACGTTTGAATTTCTTCTCCTTCCCACATGCATCCTCGGGAGAAGCAGAATTGGAAGTTCGGAATAGCCCTCCGATGCTCTCTGCCCTTACCTCCCGCCATCAGAAAGCAAGTGGAAAGAGGGGGTGAAATTTGAATTTGTGAATTAGGGACATAGCCTGTAAAGTGCAGATGTAATCTCGGAACATAAATAAAATTAGATCAGGACTTCCCAAACTACAGTATTGTACCTTCACTTGAAGTGAGCAGTGGCCTCGATTTGTTTTATTTTTGAAAAACTAGGTTCTAATCCTGGCACCACCACTTATGTGAACTTGGGCAAGTTATGCAGCCTTCTCTCTTTCCTCACCTGTACAAGCGGAGATCATTTTCAGAACACCTGTCTACATGAGAAGATGAGTGTGAAAATTGAGTGAAATTACACAAATAAAGCATATAGCACAGAGCCTGGTAACTAGTGAGAGTGCAGTAAATGTTTTATGATTATGTATGTTAATACAGTGAGAAAAAGGCCTTGGATTTGAGAAACAGCTGCATGATCTCAATGGAGGAAGCTGATTCAGGCAAGAGTTTCCAGGCAAAGGTGACAGGCAAGCCTGAGAAGGCAAAGAGCTTAGTGTGTTTGAAGAACTGAGGAAAAGCTGATGTGTCTAGAGCCTGACGAGAGCATCTACCAATTGATAGTGTAGGCCCAGTAGAGCCCGAGGTAGGTGATCAGCTCAAGATGTGAAGATGGGAGGCGGTGTCCAAAAATTCCTTTGTATCATGTCCCCAAGTCTAGTTTAATGACTTAAGAAGTGTTTTACAGATTTTTAACAAGCTGTCTGTGAATTTTACTTTTTAAAAATGGGCATCTGGCATGAAAGAATGCTTAGAATCCTAACTTCCTATCAAAACAAAACTTTCCAAACTTACGCCCCTCCAGTAACCTCCTGAGTCTTCTCCTTTCACAGCTCAGCTTTTTGGAGCTCTCTTTTCGTCTTCATCTCATTTTCTCCTCAACCCGATGCAGTCTGGCCCTACCCTCTTGGGAAACTGTCTGTGAGTGATGTCCCAGGCCTTGCAGTTGTCAAGTTCAGCCATCTGACTTAAATGTCTGCATCAAATGACACTGTTCATTAGTTCCTCTTTCTTGAAACTTTCTCTCCGTTTCGCTTCCATGGGGCTCTACTCAGTATTCTGTTCCAATTATTTTACTCTCCCTTTTCAATACTGGTGTTTCCCAGGACTCTGCTCTTGGTCCTCTTTGCATTCCACATATTCTTCCATACCTTCAACCTCAGTCTGTGCTGCTCCTAGCTCAAGGTGAACACCGTGAAATGGTTAGCACAGGCTCTGGAATTAAGACTGTAATTCAAATCCTGCCTCCAACACTTACCCACCGGACCTTGGATAAGTTGCTTAAATGCTCAGCACCTAATTTTTACTGATCTGTAAAGTAGGAATAACAGTAGTACCAATCTAACAGAATTATAAGAATTGCCATAAAAGATGTAAAGCCCTTTTAACAGTGCCACATGCTTGCTATCCTTTTATTTCCAGTTCTATCCTCCTTGCTAGCTTACAACCTTGAGAGGTATATAAAAATCTCCCACTGTAATTGTACATTTGTCTCTTGCAGGTTGGCACTCAGCCACCTCCAGTTCAGTGTGTTGAAAAATTATTTTCTTTCCCTCAAAATCCATTTCTGTTTTCCCCATTTTGATCTATGATCCCACGATCCACCCACTAGTTCAAGCCAAGAACAAAGGAGGTATCCTTTTCTCTTCCTTCTTCCTCAGCCCCTGAAGCTAGTCATTCAATTGATTCTAACATTTCTGTTTCATTAATTTATCTCATATCAACTCCTTCCTCACTATTTTCACTGGTGCAGGCTTCATATCTTCCTTATTTCTCCCAGGAGTTATTCTTTTCTTTCTCTTTCAGCCTCTTCTTTTGAGTGGGTCCTGTCCACTTTAACTCAATGATATTCATCAAACCTCTCTCTTCTGCTGCCACTGCTTAGTTCAGATTCTCATCATTTCTCTTCAGACAGTTGTAGCTTTCTAACTGATATTTCTACTTCTTCCTTTCTTGTCTCCCAGTGTTATACCCCATTCTTTTCTCCACAGGGCACCTAGAATGATCTTTGTAAATTCCACTTGCGTCCTATCACTTCCCTGCCCAAAGACACCATATTGTCCAGTGGGTAATTTCTAAGTTTTTTTGGTAGCATGTGAGGGCTGCTATTCTCCCATGCTGAACTCTTTACAAAGCCCGGAAAGCCAAATTTTCTTTCTTCCTCTGAAGATTTTGCCCACGCTAGTCTTTCTGCCTGGAAATCCCTTGCCTAGTGCCTCCTTCCCCCATTCCAAACACTATGGTCCTTCAGTCTCACTGCGTGTTTCCTCCTATTCTACCTTAGCCCCTTTATCATATCTTAACTATAGCACTTAGCACATTGCCGTGACTTGTTCATCTTTTTCTTTGCCCTGGACTGTGAGACCCTGGGGTCCAGAGACGTATCCATTCGTTTGTGTCTCCGGTGCCTAGTACACAAGATTAGGGAAGTATATTTGGTAAGAGAATAGAATGAAAAAGAAAGTCTTGTAAAAGTATGCACATTAAGAATCAGAAATGTAGAGCTGGACAGGCAGTGGCAGGGTTGGAGGTGTTTGTGTAGAACTCACTTAGTTCAATCACGAATAAATAAGGAAAGCCCGGAGGAAAGGTTGCATAAGGTACCAGAGGTCCATTAGAAGTAGAGCTGGGGCTAGTCCACCCAGTGGTCTGGGTTCTATGAGAGAGTACAGGGCATTGCTCATTGTTAGTTTATGAACCAACACTTGTTTATATGAAGGGAAAACAAATTTATGCATAGTAAATACAATGACTGCAAATGATTGGAAAATTGGAAAATGACCAAGGGAGAGGTGAAGCATGCAAATATATTCATCTGTAGTTGACTAATTATATTATGATTAATAGCAAGCATTTTGGCAGAGAATACATTTATGCAGCATTTTTAATCCATGTTTTTTCTGAGCTCTTTCCTGCAGTTGAGTATCTTTTCATATATGTTATTGGTGATTTAATTTTTTTTTCTTTTGAAAGCAACTATTGGGTTGTCGTTTCCTTTTGATTTTTAGGAGATCTTTACATATTCTGGATACTATCCTTTGTCAATTGTGTGTGTTGCAAAATTTTTTTCTTTTTGTGACTTGTCTCTCACTTTTCCCTGTTGTTTACAAACAATTATTTAGATAGTCTGCGCTTATCAAATTATTCCTTTATGTATTGTGGTTCCTGTTGCTTGTTTGAGAAATCCTTAACTCATAGTCATGAAAATATTCTCTTGTATTATCTCTGGAAAACTATTCACATTTAAGTCATTAATCCGTATGAAATTAATTTTTGTCTGTAGTGTGAACATTCTTAATAATATGGCTTGACAGGTGATAGGGCAGTTCCCTTGCCCTTTTTTGTTGTTCAAGAATGTTTTGGCTGGCTCTTCTGGGCCCTGTAATTCTATATACAGTTTAGAATTAACTTGGAAAGTTCTACTAATACCCAGTTGGGATTTTGTTTGGGAGTACATTGAGTCATAGGTCAACTTAGAGATAATGTTATGTCCGTTCATTTGTTTAGGCCTTTTTTTAGTTTTTTTTTTTTCTTCCGAAGTTTGTAATTGTCTCCATATCAAAATCTTGTACAGTTTTATTAGAGGTATTTCTAGGTGTATCTTATTTTTATGCTATTGTAGTTTTCATTTATTTAACTTTCTAACTGATCTTACTACTTACAACTGATCTTACTACTTACATAGCCATATCAGCTGTAAATATGACAGTATTTTTTCTTTCTTTTAATCATTATTTCTTTTATTTATTTTTCTTGCCTTGCCATGCTGACTACCACCTCCAGGAAGATCTAAAATAAAAATAAAAAGGATGTACCAGGCAAATTTTAACCAAGAGAAAGCTAGCACTGTTTGTGTTAACATCAATAAAAATAGACTTTAAAGCAGAAAGCATTACGGGAGACAAAAGAGTCACTTCATCACGATGGAAGGTTCAGTTCACAGAGAGAGATAAAACAATGTAAGCTCAAAATATTTAAGCAAAAATTGACAGAACTACAAAGAGAAATGGACAAATACACAATTACAGTGGGAGATTTTTATATACCTCTCAATAATTGATAGAACAAGCAAAAAATATCAATAATGATACAGAATATGTGAAAAAATTAGTAAACTACATCTAAAGGTCTTAGGGAACATGGCACTCAGCAACACAATGTTTTTCAGGCGCTGAAAACATTTTGAAACATTGAAACAGAATGAAACATTTTTTAAATGACCCTGGGCTAGACC